TTTACTTATTTATTTATTTTGAGACAAGGTCTCACTATGTAGCCTAGGCTGGAACTCATGGGAGCCCTCAGCACTGAAGTGGGAAAAGGAGGGAAAGACTGAGTCTGTGAAACTTCAGCTTCCTACCCCTCCTCAGCCACCACAGCCCCACACTGACCTTGTTTATGTATTGATTTATACTTAAGGTTTCATCTCAGCTGGCCTGCTTGCACATATATGTTATCCGCCAACTTGGTAGGTGGAGGTAGGAGACTCAGGAGTACAAAGTCATCCTTGGTCACATAAAGTTTAAGGTCTACTCAGGCTATATGAGATCTTGTCAAAAAAAAAAAAAAAACTGAATACTGCTTTAAAATTCAATTTGAATATTTAATTACTTTTCCCTCTTAACATTCTGGCATGTTTTCTGCTCAGAGAAAGAAAGATCCATGTTCTCTAGTCTGTCACGAAAGTGCACTTCTAGACTGCTGACCCACCCTATGAGGGCAGGAACCAATGGATGTGGTCCTCCACAGGGCCCCTGGGATGAGTGTGCTGGAAAGCGCTTTGCTGTTTGAGAACCTGGATGGTTACTGGGAAATATTGATCATTTACATTCATTATTGGCGTTGGAAGTGGGTAGTAGTTCACCTCCCAATGGGAAGCTGTCACACCAGCAGTGCTAGGGCTGGAGACCCCACAGATTCTCAAGTAATCACTGTAGCAGACCTCTGTGTTGCTACCAGGACTTCTTAATTCTGATGTTCCATTTCCTGACTGGTTGAGCCAAATGTTATTTCTCTTGTACATTGAGGTGGGGCACAGAGAAACAGCATAGCAGCTAATTAAAGGTCCGTGTATATTTAGCTTGAGGTTGGCCTTTCTCAGTAGAATCACTGCCCTCATTTTGTTCTTCTTATTAGAGTGTGATAGGACTAAAAATATGCCACTGGATTCTCTTGATTTCTTTCCATATGAAAGCTACAGATGCATTTAAATCTGGCTACTAGAGAACAAGGTGCACTCTCCTGCAGCTTGCTGTTAGAGTGGGGGTGTACTGTGGGCATACACTAACTAGTTGCAAGGGGGGATAACTGGAGAGATAGCTTTGTGGTCCTGAGCATACACTACTGTTGCTGAGACCTGAGTTTGGGTCCTAGCACTAGATTTATTTCGGCTACCTCAGATACCTGCATGTACACACACATACTCACAGATGCAAACATACACATTAATAAAGGTAAATCTTTAAAAGAAAAATTTTAAAAGAAAAAGAAAACCCAGTAACTTAACAGACTTACTTACTAGCTCATACCTCTAATTCCACCACTAGGGAGGCAGAGGCAGGAGGATTGCTGTGAGTTCAAGACCAGCCAGAACTACATAGAGACCCTGTTTCAAATAAACATGAAAACAAAAACAAACTAGCAACAAGGCATATTGCACATAGCAAATGGTACCTGATGGTTCCCCTGTGCTATTGGTACTGTCCCTCACTGCTTTCTGCAATGGGAGGATGATAGGCTGTTCAGAAACCACAGGACTGGAATGGATCTGGAAAATCACATATTTATTTCAGGAAACTGCTGAGAACAGTGTGTAACATCTCAAATGGCAGAGCCTTTGCTTAGTGTTCCTTGCATTGCTCAGCTGGAGTCTGACCTGCTGCAGCCCCACAATGGACATTGGTACACAGCAGTGCCTCTTATGTCCCTTGCCATCATTTTTGCCTCACCCCTTACAGGTGAGTCCATCCCCATCAGGCTCTTCCTGGCAGGATATGAGCTCACGCCCACCATGCGGGACATAAACAAGAAGTTCTCTGTGCGCTATTACCTCAACTTGGTGCTGATAGATGAGGAGGAACGGCGCTACTTCAAGCAGCAGGTGGGTGCCTCCTCCAGGACCCTGGGTTCCTTTGGGCATCAAGCAGAAAGGTCACCATTCCCACTTGTGGCCATCTTATCACTTTAAAGCAAAATGCTAACAGGAAATAGTCAAGCCTCTGTCACTTGTGATTTTTACCAACAAGTAGAAACATGGAATTGCCTAGAATCTTATAGCAGGAATACAGATTCCCAATTGACCCCTGGAGTCTGCTTTCTCAGGCATGACCCCTGCTTTTGTGGCTCGCACAGAACACCAGTCTTAAGAGCCACTACTTTGGTGAGAGATGAGTTGAGAAGGTTATTCCTGGGGATTCCCTGGGACCAAGGTGGGAACCCATGAGAAAAGCATTCCTGAGCCTCTCTCAAATACCAAATCGCCTCTTCTTCCAACTCTGCAGGAAGTGGTGTTGTGGCGGAAGGGTGACATCGTACGGAAGAGCATGTCTCACCAGGCAGCCATTGCCTCACAGCGCTTCGAGGGCACGACCTCCCTGGGTGAAGTGCGGACCCCAGGCCCACTGTCTGACAACAATAGCAGGCAGTAGGTCCTGGGGGCCAAGAGTTGCTGGGCTTCCACTGCAGCACCCCCATCTACCAAACACCAGCGACCGGGGAAGGGGAGGACAGGACGGTGTGAGGCTCCAGTGGCCATTACTTGCAACCTTGAAAACAAATCATGTTTTTTACCTAAATTCTTTTCTCCGAAGAACCTAAGGGGCTTGGGTTGGGCAGCAGTCTCCCTGGGATTCTGCAGCCTAGGTAGGGAAAGGGAGAGGAAACATTCTAAAAGCTAGTCTCTCCATCGGGAATGAGAGCTGTCTGTCCAGGCTATCTCGAGCCTTCAAGCAGAGTTGAGAGCACACATCATTGGCTCCAGGTTCTCTGGGCTTCCTGATACAGCAGCTGAGCATGTCCCTGGCACTCACTTGCCAGCAGGGCTCTGGGTAGTCACATCTTGCACTCCCTTCAACTGTCCCTGAGGTAGTCGCAGAAATTGTTGGGCCTGTCTCATCTATGTTGGATGAAGGCTCAAGATCGGGAAGCTACCTCTCTGAGCATCTGGGACGTGGTGCTCTGAAGTTTCCATTCACCTCTGGCCTCACTACGGGGACCAGATATGTCTCTTCTCCATCTTTTCTAACTTGTCAGGAACCATACAGGAGCAGAGCCTAAGGAAGGGTCTGGGGCTGACTGTCCTTTCACATGTGAGAGATATGGGCACAAAGAAGCCCTAAGACTGGTGTCACACATGGATGGCCAGGAACCTGAGCTAGGCCTCCTGGGGGAAACATTAGGCAAGGCAACTGTCTGCCTTCACCACATGACTCCACGTGGCAACCCCAGGTCTGGGTTGTTCTAGGAATTATTTGAAGTTACCAACAAGCCCTAAGCAGAGGGTCTGTTTCCTTTAGAATAGATCCTTACAAAAGGCTGAGATCCATTTGCCTCCCTAAAAGTGATCTCTTGTTACTCCACTGGATCCCTGGAACTTTTGGGCTTGGTTTCAGGCACTCAGGAGCTCTGTTCTTGCTCCCACCCCAAACCCTTTCACTCCACTATCAATACATCAAGGGAGGAAGGGCCTCTGCAGAAGACTCTGTTACCATAGCGTCAGAACAGTTCTGCTTGCCAAATTACGTCTTTGTCTTCACCAGTTCACTGACTCAAGTTTTACACCATTGGTGTTTAGTTTTTTAATTTAAAAACAAAATAGGAAAACTCTGGTGGATGTTGTTATACTAGAGAAGAGGCGGTTCTTCCTCCTGCTCTGTGCCGGGGCCTGCTAGTAGTAAAGGGGTTGACTGTCATCTTTGCCTTGTCTGGGAATGACCAGGAATTATGTCCCGTTGGCCGCCTTCCCATCTACAGAAAGATCAAGTGGAACCCTTGTTCAATAAGTACAGTATTGGCTGGTTTGTGCTCTTGGCAATTGGAAAGTAAAGGATTTGTTTAGTGCCACCTTCCAGTTTGGGTAGAAAATGGGGTCTCTTCCTCAGAAATCAGTGCAATCTTTGGCTTTGACAGGGCAGGGCTGAAGGATCACAGTTTAGATGAAAGACACTTGGGGTGACTGGGGTAGCAGAGCTAGGTAGTTTTCCTCATGTCAGACCCCAAGTTTACGTGTGACATACAGTCCCCATGGGAACAGGTTCATCCATCCAGCTGTCCTTGGATATCAAGGTTGGGCCCTAGCATATGAGGAAGGTAGGTTCTGTGCTCTTGCCATGTTCAGGGTATGAGACTAGACTTTGCTGTGCCTCCTTTTAATAGCTAATTAAAAGCATTTGTCAATTTCTCTGCCTCCCAGTTGACAACACAAATTCACTTTCCAACTTTGCTAACATCTGAAGCCTTTCTTCTGGGAGAACTAGAAGGTAGAATATGCTTTGTTTCTCTCAGGAGCTGTGCACAAGCCAGGTCTTGTTTTCTCTTACTACCCCCATTTTTTCTCTGCCAACTGTGAAAGTGTGGGGATGCTTCTATCCCCATCCCATAAGATTCCCAAACCTGGAGTGCATCGGTACTAAACCAAGCAGTGCAACTTGTAATTAAGAAGCTGCAGTGTTTACATGTTTCTTAATGTGTTGTCTTTTCGATGGCTGTATTTTAAAAGAACATTTGTTTTAATGGTGTCTCTAATTAAAGGAAGCCCTGTGGCTTTGGAGGCATTGTGCCCATGGTCCACCAGATTCTGTGGTCTTTTCCTTCTTAATACTGTCTCATATCTGACACACAAATGAAACTTTATGACTTCAACACCTGCCTCCTTTCTCAGTGAATAGTAAACAGTAATAAACACTGTATTAACTACCCATTGTGGGCAAGCATGGCTCAGTGAGTTCAGGTTTTATCCTTGTCTGGTAACCTACCCAGAAACATTCATAGTTTCAACTTCAGGACTTAGGTTAACTGAGTGTTCACAGACCAAAGGACTCAGTCCTACATTCTGCTATGGACGACATAACTACAGTGGTAGGGGCAGATGATAGTAGAGGTACCTCTATCTTCCAGTTGATAAAAGGAGCCAGGTTTGGATCTAAGACATCTACAGTGAAGGATTCTACCACACCTAACACAGGTTTAGAAGAAAAAGTTTTTAACCTCATCATTAAATATTTTTTATTAGAGAAGAAAAAAAAAAAAAAAAAAAAAACTGAACAAGCCACCTGTGCACATGACTGACCATGGGTGGACACAGCAACTTTCTCCTTTTGTCTTTTTAAAAGCTTGACTTTGTGGATCAATGTCTTGTTCACTCCATCAGTAGAGCCTTCATTAACTTGGTTCTGTTTCTTCCAGGCTCAAAATAAAATCAAACTCTTCTACAAAAACAAAAAAATGGGGTGGAGGGAGAGAATGAGGTGTTGTGTTAATAAGGCACCACAAGTTCTTGGAGTAGGCAATTGTCCATTCAAAAACTAGCGGGTATATAGCAAAGAGCTATAGCCTGCCTCATGGGATACACAGGTGAGGACACTGACCAGAGAGAGAGGTTTAATGCTGTCTCCACATTTGGGTCTTACCTTGAGTCAAAGGCTGGACTGAAAGTCTTTGTCGAGTGAAGAGAGTCATGCTTTTTAAGGGGCCACCGGTAGCTTTGTGGGTTTGGTGATAGACTTTAAGCTCATCCAGGGAGATGAAGCGCTTCATCATTCGGACAAACTGTACATCCACCTATTCCACAGCATCGCAGGGGACAGAAACATGTTCAGCCATACTGCCCTATTTAAGGACTGGGTCTCTCTGTTGCCTAGTCTGTCCGTAAACTCCTCGGCTGAATCAATTTTCAAGTCTCAGCCTACTGAGTGGCTAAGAATACAGGCATTTGCTTCTGTGCCCACCCAGAATTTCTATTTGCAAGAGGCTCCTGGTGTTAGGGCTGCCAGTGTTCTGTTCTACTATCCCAATTTTGCAAAACTTAACCTAAGTGAGAGCTGGACTACACTCCTTGACCTAACCGTACACAACTCCTTTTCCTTATGAAATAGCAAGTACAGTTATTACCATTGACCATTTAGGGTTGTCCTCTTTGCTGGATGGGTCGTAATGGGGATTATTTTTCTCAAACTGTGTGTGGTCTGGGTAAGCCTCCTTTACGATCTGAAAACAAATCCAAAATCTCCAATCATTTTAGCTCCTTGCCCAAGTTTTAATATGCATCTCTGACTTTTTACCTTTCCTTCACATCTGACCCATCTCCCTTGTATAGAGACAGTTGGTATGCAGACCTGCAAGCAAGTATAGTTAAGAGAGAAATCCTATTTTTACAAAGCTTCACAAGCATGTTCTAAAACTAAATGCTGAGTTACTGTTGGAAACACATGGTTTTATTTTCTCCCAGCTGCTCACATAGTGTTATCTTGAAACTCTTAGCAAAGAGGAGTTACCTGATAGAACTGCAGATAGTGAGAAGTATTAGCAGGGCCTGAAATGAAGGTCTTTCTATTCTGACCCTCATCATTCACGTGATGGGCAGGGCAGTTTTCCTCATTTTCTGTGACAGGGACAGTTTGGGGGCAGGGCATACTTTTGTTGTTATCTATTTAAGTCCCTAAAGGGAGGAATCCAGGCTAAAATGTGTGCACCTAACCTTCATAAGTCCCACGATGCCTGGCTGTTTGCAGTTGCTATGGTAGAAGAAGGCTTCCTCCTCCAACTTCATGGCCCTGAGGAAATTCCGAGCCTGTGTCAGAGAAGAAACAAGGGTTACCCTCCTACCAGTTGGGAGGCAGTCAAGTCTGTTTTTAAAAGATGTTTTTTCCTGTTTTGCTCTTCTCTTGAATTCATAAGAAAATCTGTCCCTTTATTCAGAGTCCTAGCCTTGTTCCAGGACACTAGCCAGAACCAAGCTACTTGCAGACTGCATGCTGTCACAGTGATTATGATATTTCTGAAGACATTTTCATGATAGAGTTCAGAGAAAAGCAATGTTGATTCAAAGATGAGCACAGTGGAGGAGGCAGGCATACATCCTAGCCTAGATTTCAGGGTTCCTGCCACTTGACTCTGTACCTGATAGTTGCGAACACCATCCCAGCATGCTATCTGCTTGGGCTGTGCTTTGAGATCCTCGATGCTGAACTAGGAAAGAGAAAATAAAGTCATTCACTACATAGTCATTGGCCAGTTGATAAGCTTCTATAGAAACAAGAAGTTCTCTCTTTAATCCTAAAAAGTGCTACAGGTCATAAAGACACTGGGTGGATTACCAGAAATTAGTTCCAGGGTAAGGAGGATATTAACTTACCCTGGAATTGTGATCTTTGCTAATTAAGATTAGTTGAATGGATAAACAGGATAATAATACAGTCTACTAGTTCCCTGTGTTTCACTTATTAAAGTATCACAATTTTCTAATATTTCTATTTTCCTGAAGCTAGTATTAAACTCAGCTTATATTCATTTCCTGATTATATGGCAATGCTTGTCAGGGATACATCCAGGAGCATGGCAAGCAGTAAGAGAGAAATCACTAGTGCCAGATGTGGTGTGGTGGTGCACACTTTTAATCCCAGCACTCCTAAAACTGGGGCAAGGAAGATCTTCAATACAAGAGTAACCCAAGCCTCAAAAGTTAGGAGGCCAGCTTGGGCTACATAGCAAGATCATCTTAAAAACACTTAACAACAGCAAAATCAAACTTAAGATTGACCAAGTTGAACCATATGTCTGATTTTATAAATAAAAATTTACCTGAACTTAACCACACCTTTTAATGTGTTGTCTGTTGTCACTTCCTTCTTCAATGAGTCAGAGCTGCAACATGGGCTATAAAAACCCATAAGCCTCTCTGGCTGTGTTCAAGAAAAGTTTGCCAACCTTTGCTTAGACAGGAAACCTACAAAACATGCAGGTTGGGCATGCCTAATGCTAGTATCTGAAATCAAGAACACTCTGGAATGTTCTAACATTCAAAAACTCTTGTATTTTATTAAAGTATTTAGACTTTTTTTTGGCGGGGGGAAGTTAGGGATATTCAAATTGCAAAATCTAGAACACTTCTGGTCTCAAGAACTGTGGATAAGGGCTATCCAACTCTAAGCTAATGATAAAAATGCTGCAAATCCTACTTATTTTACCTTTTCCCTAGTCTTCAAAGATGAGAAGCTGAGGTCTGAATCCTATGGTAAACTGCATTCACCATCTTTTTAGTAGTAGGTATGTGTGTGTGTATGAGGTGTGGAAGTACGTGTGGTCCCTTGCTTTACTGCAATTTACAGGGTCACCTTTGCCCCATTAAACCAACACAACAGGACACAGGTGCAGTCTCACCTTCACATCTACACCTTTTTCTAGCCGGCTTTCTGGTTCTGACTTCATCAGCCAGTAGCTGCTTACATTCTTGCCACCATTTTTAGAGGTTGAAGTCTTCTGAGGGCTGGAGCTCCCTAGCTTAGCTGATGTATTTTCTGAGTTTTCAGTTTTAGTACGTTTTTCTGATAGCTCCTTCTTGTCTGTAATGGAAACAAAGGAAAATACTTGTAATTCTGCTGGGAGGCAGTGTTCCATTGTGGAAAACAAAACAAACAAAAAACTTACTACTTGGTGTCATACTTGAACTTAAAACTTAGACTCTATAAACACTATTGCACCACAGACCCATATAGAAGTAACGTCTTTCTCTATAAAAACTGGACAAGAATATCTGGCCTTTATCGGCTTAAAAATGACATCCTCTTGATTCAATACAACCGCTGAAACCATCAACTCAGATCAACTGCAACTACTGTAATACACCCCCCCCCCCGCAAGATTGGCTCTGTTAATGGCCACTCAAAAATGTGGGAGAAGCTCATGGAGCCCTATCCCTTATTGCTAAAATTATTGGCTACTGATAGATTCTTCCAGAGGGGGAGTCACTATCTTGAATTATGTAGCCACTGCTGAGCTTACCAGCCTCTCCTAGACAGCTCCAAACCCATGGCTTCATAAATGACCCTGGTTAAACTCAGTGGGTCACAAACCAAAATGATTAGATGTGAATGTAAGGTTTATAGGCAAGAGCTAGTGTAGGATGCAGGTCTAAGTATAGTAGAGAGATAGGAGAGAGTGGGGATAAAAGTAGTCTAAGAGCTAGACAGATGGTTGTGATTAAAATTCCATAAAGCTCCAGTTCAATTCCCAGCACCCACATGGCTCACAAATCCAGTCCCAAGGAATTTGACACCCTCATCTGGCCTTTGCATGTGCTGCATAAGTCTGATGCATAAACATACATGCAGGCAAAACATCTATACATATAAAATAAAAATAAAACATTAAAAACTTTGAAAAGCTGCTTGGCTGTGGGGGCAACGTGCCTTTAATCCCTGCACTTGGGAGGCAGAGGCAGGCAGATCTCTGAGTTTGAGGTCAATCTGGTTTACAGGGGAAGTTCCAGAACAGCCTAGCTACACAGAGAAACCCTTTTCCTCAAAACAAACAAAAAGACCACTTCTACTTTTAAAAATAGTTCATTTACATTCTGTACATTTGTGGAATTGTCAAAGAAATTTAATTAATAAAAAATACTGTAACTGATACCTTCTAAATTACTCAATAAAGTCATTACCCAATGGAGTAGACCTATGGGGTTAAGATTAAAGAATACTAGCAGGAATCATTACATGTGCTCCACCCCACTTCTGAGCCTTTAATCGGACTCACTTTCCAATGAGGAAATGAAGCACTTACTTGAAACTGTTTCAATGATTATTTGATAATACAAAGGAAAGACTTGGGAAATATCTCATTACCATAAATGTTCAGTAACTATTAGTCATTATCATCTTATACTTCTTTCTTCATACATGCCTTCAGGGCTATGTAGACATGGTAAAAACTGGAGGTTTTTTTTTTTTTTTTTTTTTTTTTCCAGTGGCAGATATTGAACCCAGGACTTTATCCATGATAGACCTGGAACCTATCTATCACTAAGCTACATCCTCACCCCTTTTTTGTTTTATTTTTGACACAGTCTCACTAAATTTCTCAGGCTGGCCTTCAGCTCACTCTGTAGTCTAGATGAGGCATGAATTAAGAAAATCTACTTCCTGATTAGCTTGGACTATATAGCTCTTTAGCACCGGTCTTGGTTTCCCCACCTGCCAAATTCTAAAGTTTCAACTTGGGGCTTCAAATATGCTAGGGGGTGCTGTGCCACTGAGCTACATCTCCAGCCCTGCAATCTGGCTTTTATTCAGTGAATAAAAGAAAATGTGCTCTTGACACAACAATCACTCCACATGCCCGGCACTAACCCTAATGTGGTACAGCCTAAACAATGAGCTGGAGATCACAGTCCAGCCAGGTAGAACTAAGCCCTGAATTGGATCACAGTTGTCACTTGAGTCTGTCAGAACCTACAGTTAACTTACTCTACTACTTCAGAATTTAGTTTGCTACTGCATCAGTCTTCATTAAATATCATATGGATGCCTGATGCTCTGAATTTAGCGTATCTTAGCACAATTTCCCAGCTATCCTTAAGAACAGACATACTTGTCCTGACATCATCAGAGAGGCTTCCTCTTGAGGCAGATGGGAGCAGGTCCCGCAGGTCTCAATGTGGGTAACAAGTGGAATATGGACAGACTTTCAGAAGTGACTTACATGGAAAGTTTATTGATGAAAGGCTTATTAGTAGGAGGTAAGGGAATAAGGGAAAGAGATAGACAGAGACAGCTGCCTCAGAGAAACAGCAGGAGAGGAAAGTGGGTGGTTTTCCTCTTTAAGGGCCAAACCCTGCTTGCCATTATGCAGAATCTAAATTGGAGGTCTCCATAGGGTTCGTCCCCTTGGAACTCAGGGAACCCCAGGGCAGAGGGGTGGAAAGATGGTAGGAGTCAGAGGGGATGGAGACTGTAACAACTAAGCAAGGTTCACCTGGCTCACAATCAGCAAGCACAGGGACCAGCATGGGTCTGCACCAGGTCCTCTGTATATATGTTGTGGCTGTTGCTTTGGCATTTTTGTGGGATTCATAACTGTGGCAACAGGTTTGTCTTTGACGCTTGCTGGCTCTTGGGACATAGTCCTGTTAGGTTGCCTTGTCCAGCCTCAGTGTGACAGCTTTTTGCCTTGTCTTACTGTATCTTTTTTTTTTTTTTTTTTCTGTGTTTGGTTATTGTCTCTTGGAGGCCTACACTTTTTCTGGAGACAGAGGGGGAGTGGATGGGAAGGAAGGGGTGGCTGGGAGGAGCTGAGGGAAGGGGGAACTGTGGTCGGGATGTACTCTATGACAGAGGAATCTATTTTCAATTAAAAACAAACAAACAAACAAACAAAAAAACAAAAACAGCATACTCTGTGTTGTAATCCAGGCAAACCTGGCCCTGCCCCTTGGAAACCTGGCACAGAGAGTTACCCCTCTGCACTTGGTAGGCATACCTTGTCCCTTTAAGAGCAAAATTCCACCTACTTCCCTCTCTCTTCTGCTGTTTCTCTGAGGCAACTCTGTCTCTGTCTCTTTCTTCCTCCTTACCTTACCTTCTACTAATAAACCTTTTACCAATAAACTTCCATATAAGTCACATCTGCAAGAGTTTGTCTATATTCCACCCACTACCTGCCACAGGACCTGCTTTAGGCACATATTCCTAACACTATGTGTGCTTCAATAACTACAATAATGTGTTGTGATCAACCTGAAACCTGTCAGTCTTAACAGAGGTTCATTCTACTCCCGCTCCTTAATTTCTGCTCTTAATCCACAGCACACATTCATTTTTGTGAATGATAAAACGTGTCTTCTGAGTTCTAGAATTTGCTAAAATTCTGCTTCCTTCTTGAGGCCTTTCCTGTGATCCTGCCCCTTCCATACTTCTAGCAAAACTGTCTTAAGGACCTTTCCACTCATGCATGTTTGCATTTTCCCTTGGAAAAGGTACTGTATCTTCATTGTTTTCAACTTATAGTCAATTACCTTTTTCTATTAAATTTTAACTGAAATAGAAAACAAAAATTGTACATATTTAATAGGTATTAACTGCCATATGGTGTTTCCATACCATGTGTACATTGAATATTTCAAATGGAATATATTTGCTGAAGCATCTATTTATTTTGAGATAGTCTCAGAATTCTGTAGCCCAGGCTGGCTTTCAATTTACAGCAATCCTCCTGCTTTAGCTTCTTAAGTGTTGGAATTACAAATAGGAACAGATGTTTTTGTTTGTTTGTTTTGGAGATGGGGGAGTCTCTTGCTGTAGCCCAGGCTGTAGCCTAGGCTGTAGCACAGGCCTAGAACACAGACAGCTGTCTTGACGACTGGTATGAGCTGTCCTAATTTGCTTTGTTGTTTATGGTGAAAGCATTTAAAATTCTTTGCTCCTGCTTTTCTGAAATGTGCAGTGCGTTGACATCAACAGCAGGAAATACAGCAAGATGCTGGCTACAGCAACCTGAGCTTAACTCACAACCTGGAACTCTTACAGCACACAAAAGAATTTCAAGGCCAGTTTAAGAGATTTTAAAATGGGCATAAGGCTCCTGACTGTAATCCTGAATTTTAGAGCCTGAAGCAAGAGACTGGCTCCAAATTCAAGGTCAGACTCGGGTTCAGATGTCTGTCTCAAAACAGGAAAGGGATTTAACATAAAGTTAAGCACAAGCATTAAGAGACAGACAGGTGTGTCTGTGAGACTTGACTTCCATCCCTGAGGGCCCATCTGATGAGAGAACCAACTGCCAGGCACCAGCATATCCACCATGACACAAACACTTACAATCTGGAAATCAGAAAGAGACATAAGATAAGATAATGACCTCCAACAAGCCCTAGAGCAGCAGGGCTTGTCAGCAAAGCTGTATTAAGTGTCTTAGCAATAACTATGTGTAAGATTTTGGTAGTCTCTGAAATACATTGTTCAGGAAATTTAAGATTAAATTTAAGTAAAACTGTTTTGAATGATTTATCAACTCTATAAAGGAAGCACTTGGGAGTAGGGGCAAAAAGATCAGGAATTCAGGTCGTCCTCAATTACTCGGCAATGCCAAATTAACAAACAGGCTGATAAGATAAAAACCTAGAAAAAGAAAACTGTGTGTTTTGGGGGGTAGGGGGTTAAGGGTGAGGTCTGGTCTCCTGTAGCCCAGGTTGGCCTCAAACTCTGTATGTAGACAAGGAATATCCCGAACTGATCTTTCTTTTATTTTTAGCTTTTGGATTTTTTACATTCCATGTGAAACTGTGCATGACTTTCTGTGCCTGGCTTATTTCACTCAAAAGAATGAACCAAGGGCTGGTGAGGTGGCTTACAGGTGGCAAACATTTTTTTTTTTTTTTTTTCTTACAAAGCCTGAGGACTGAGTTCATTCCTGAGATTCACAATGTGGAAAAGGGGGACTGATTCCTGCAAGTTATCTTCTGAACAAATTGTGTGTGCTGCACATACGACTTAAAAAAGTAAATAAATATAATTTTAAAAATGTAGTTTGTCCCCACCCATTCCGGAAAAGATATCTACACACACAGCCACACACACACACACTTTTTGGAGACAGGGTTTTCACTACTATGCAAACAGGCTGGTCTTGAACTCAAGGCAATCCTCCTGCCTCAACCCCCCACGTGCATGGGCCACCAGAGCCCTGTACAAGTATTACTGCAAAGATCCTTAGTGCTGTTTTTTGAATGGACAAACACGTGGTAAGGAGGACTTCAAGGGTAATTTTGGCAGTGAGTAAAGATGACAGTAAGTAACCACCTTCAAGGTCTCCCTCCAAAACCAGGGAGTGGACAAATGAACAATGCACACCCCACAGAAACGTTCTTCGCCTGCTACCTTTTGCAGCCTAGGTACAGCTCACCTGGGCCAGTAGCCCCAATCAGCCTCTTCCGGGGTCTAGGCATGTTCTCTCTGCAGGAGGCTGAAGATAACCGGACAGGCAAGAAGCAACTCTTGTCTTCCTCAACCTACGCGGTGCAAGGAAACCTAAAGGGCCCGAGACTTGTGAAAGAAAAGTCATGATTAAGGCATTCTAATCCTCCCCTCCGTTATCTGTCCCTGAACATTCCTAGTCCCTTACTCGGTTCTTCCCGCCACCTTTCTCTCAACACACCAGCCAGACCTTAGTAGAAGCACAGAAGGAAGCTCTCCAGAATGCCTTGAGGAGACTGGCTTTGCCCAGCGGGCTTTGTAGAAGACGCACCTCAGAGGCGCCGCCCCGAGGATCTCTGGGAATTGTGGTTCCAGCACCTCAGTAGTCCTCCTAGAGCTTGCGCTTCAAGGGCTTTAATGGACTACAACTTCCAAGGTGCCACGGGGCAGATCACGAACTGCAAATTCTGGCCTGGGCAAGCTGGTCCAGGTTTTGAGACAGAGAAGAGCAGCTGTGGCGATGTTTCGGTGTGGCTCCCGGCGCCTTGGCTGTCTACGTGCCACCCTCCGGTCCCTGGCTCAGACCGGCCGCCGGAGCGTCTCCTTATGCATCGATCGTAAGGCTCATCAGGGTGAAGGGAGAGTGGGACTTTGGTGGTCATCTGTGCGGGCCCGGGTTTCTTGACTGCTTGCTGACTCTGGGCTTCGTCCTGACTCGTACACCCGGCCCCCTCAGTCTGGTTCTCTGGTCCCTTGACCAATTCATTTCGTCCTTAGACCCTGCCCCGTCCAGGACCCGTTGCCCTCTCCCTTACGAGTTCTGTCCCCCCGAACCTGCTTCCTCCTGTAAACCAGAATCTGCTCTCGAGACCAGCTCCGTGTGGTCCCGGCGACAGGCTCTCAGTTCAGCCCAGTGCCCCCTTCCCTCCCAGGCCTGGCCCATGCTTAGGAAATTGTGACTTTGGTTGGTTGAAATAATAGCAATAGATTCCCAAGGTAGCAAGAACCATGTGTGCTGATCAAGATGAATAAAAAACTCTGTTGACGTATTTGGATTCATAATTTATAAATTGCCAACAGAAAACAATGTGTAGAAACTGATGGAGGAAAAAGAAAGATTACTGTATTGAGAAACCTTACCACAGATTACAACTTGTTTAGGAACCTGGCAGAAAGCTTGAATGTAACCGGGCGTGTTTGCCACCCACACAGACCATGGGATCGATACCCAGCCAGCTTGTGAGTTCTGTTATTTAAAATAACAAAAACCACTTCTTTTAAAGCAATTTTAAAAATAATTTTTATTTACTTAAAATAAGTATCCATTGTTTATGGCAGTATGGCCTTGACGATTGAGAACAGATTAAAGTACACGAGGGCTGTTGTCTGTAGGACACAGTACACGAAGGCTGTTGTCTGTAGGACACAGTACACGAAGGCTGTTCTCTGTAGAACACAGTACACCAAGGCTGTTGTCTGTAGAATAAAGTACACGAAGGCTGTTTTCTGTAGAACACAGTACACGAAGGCTGTTCTCTATAGAAGACCAGAGATACCTTTAAAGGCACTGCCCTACCTAGGCACTTAGAACTGAATCAACAAGGTTGCCCAGTTTAGCAAGTAAGAGTTTGGCCCAGTAACAAATGAACGAAATGTGAATTTTCCCACTAGATGCTGGTTTGATTTGAGCAACTTAAAGTGAAACTCTTTTAAAAGAAGGTATTGGAGTTAGGGCCCTAGCTCAATAAGTTTGCTTTTTAGAGTCAGGGTGTCATGGTATAGCCCAGCTGTCCTTGAATTTGCCATTTCGTTCAGACCAGCCTTGAATTCATGATCTTCTGTGACCTCACCAGTGCTGGGATTATAAACATGACATTATGCTGGCTTTGATTTACTATTTTTTTTTCTCTAAGCAATGTTTTCCTACTGTGGATCATGTCTGTTTCTAAAATTAACTGTATTTGTTATATAAGAATATGTGGTTACATATTGTATTTACTTATATATAACTTACATAAAACTACTGTTTACTCAGAATGAAATTCTAAATTTCTAAGTCTTGGGTTACCTGAACTTGCTTGTCTTAGGAAGTAGCCCTTTATTCTGTCATAATATAATAAAGATTTATTAGTATATATTAAAGCTGGACATAGTGGCTCATGGCTGTAATCCCAGTAGTTAGAGTTAGGAAGTTTAGGCAGAGGATTACCTCAGGTTTGAGGCCAGCCTGTAAATTGCAGGTCAGCTTGGACTACAGAGTTAGACTCTGTCTCAGAAAACTGGAACCGAACAAAACAAGTAACAACAAATTATGTTGAGTTCTTGCTAGAAGTAAAATTCTGTGGCCCTTTTTTGTCCCTTAAGATCTTTGAATTATTACCATTTAAGTGTGTGTGTGTGTGTGTGTGTGTGTGTATGAATGGACCATTTTTGTCTTTGTATCACCAACATTGCCACACAATTATTGTTCAAATATTTGTTGGTTGCAAGGGTGCTGGTACTGGAGTTGAAAGCCCAGGGATTTGTTGTGTCTAGACAAGTACTTACTGTTGAAGTGTGACTCTAGCCCCATTTTGTTTGTTGCTTAAATAGTGAGTTTACTGTACAGTTGTTTGGTTTTTTGTTTTTGTTTTGTTTTTTTCCATTTTCCTCCTAGAACCGTGAGTTGAATTCAGGGCCTCACCCATGCTGGGCAAGGGCATTACCACTCAGCAACATTCTTCTTCCCAGTTCTTTTGCAAATGAACATTAAACTATGATCTATAGCAGCACTTGTATAAGAAAGCATGGAAAAATAGCCCAACTCCCCTTCCCCCCACCCCCATAAGAAAATTAGTTTTTTGTTGTTGTTTTGGTTTTGTTTTGTTGGTTTTTTGTTTTGTTTTGTTTTTGTCCCAAGCCATATTCCTAAGGATGATACCCTCAGTGTTGTGCTGTGGGTCTCTTAGGAGCACATTCTCTAGATGATGCACAAACTTTTGCTTTCTGAGTTTCCTTCCTCCCCACCTTTTGATACGGGTTCTTACTCTGTAGCTGTGAATATTCCGGAACTCCCTATGTAGGTCCCACTGGCCTCGGACTCACAGAGAGGCACATGGGTGTTGGGAGTAAAGGTGTGAATTGCCACTCTAGGCTTACCTCTTTTACTAAGAGTGATGCTTAGATCTTGTCTAGATGAATAGACTTTGCCACTAACACTTGAGTGCTATTGGGAGGATTGGACATAGCAAGCACCAAGATAATTTATTGTCAAGAATGGCTCGTGCCTTTTCTTTAAGTCTACATGCATTCCACCTCAGATGTTCCCATCTTGTTTTTCTTCAGTATTCATTAGTATCATAATGACTAAAGCTTTTGAATTGAAGGGCCATACCTTCTAACTACAGAATATCTGCATGACTCCCCCCACGCCCCACCCCTCTCACACACACAGCCATCACCGTCCTCTGATGGGAGATGTCATTCTGTATATGTTTCTCATACTGGTTAATGAATAAAGCACTGTTGGCCAGTAGGAAAGGAAGATAGGAGGGACTAGGAACTAGGAGGAAAGAGGAAGTAGTAAGGAGGAGTCAGGATGGAGAGCCTGGAGAGAACAGAACTGCCATTCCTCCGCTCTCAGTAAGACCACGTGAAAATACATAGAAATGGGTTAATAATTAAGATAGAGCTAGCCAATAAGAAACTAGTAATGGGCCAACAGAATTATATCTAATACAGAGTCTCTGTGTGTTAATTGGGGCTGGCGCGGCTGCAGGACAAGACCAGTGGCGGGAGGAAAAACCGTACATCTTACATATGGCACCCACGTGACAGTCTTGCTTCCCAGTTCATCCCTGCCTTCCTTACTGAGTGTGATCTTTGAGGATGAATGCAAAAATCAAATTCTGTGTTTTATGGCTAAGGGACCAGGTTACTTAGGTTAGTGTCTCTCACTATTTCCTCTGATGAGGTGCTGATGTAGCCTTTGTAAATTTTATGAGTTCCTAGGAAATTTTCCCATTCATCTGTCCTACTTGTCTATTATCATCACTTAGCTAATTCATTCTCTTAAGCTTCATTTATCTCAATCTAAGAAATGAAACAGTTACCCAAAGTCATATCACTAGAGGCTAAGACAGAAAGCTCCATAAGAGTTGAACTTCCCTATTGGGGATTTAACTGTGTCTCAACATAAGAAAGCTTTATTTATTTATTTACTTTTTAAAGTCAGTGTTATCCACGAATTGTATGGCTATGCTATTGCATTGCAATCTTGTTTGGAAAGAATGCCAAAGTACACAGATTATGATTTCTCAATTTGATGTTTTGAAGTTAATGTGTTGGTGGAAACAGTGGCTGCTGCCAGACTGGGTGGGGCTTTTTAATTTTTCTTTTCTTTCTTTCTTTTTTTTTTTTTTTTTTTTTTTTTTTTTTGTGCAGAAAAGATAGGACAACCCATCAGAAAACATGTCATTTGAGGGCTTCTGTATTTTTTATTTTTGTTTTGCAATGCTGATCTTGAACTGGGACCTCAATGAGGCCACCTTTTGCATTGAATTTTATCCCCAGCCCTTCATTTGAAAAGTGGACTTATAAGTAAGAGGAGATAAACAATTTTGAAAAGGCAGCTGACCCACTTGGAATTAAAGGAAGAATGGTAGGCCAGTAAGATGACTTAGTGGAGGTAAGGCCTGACTTTAATCCTCAGAACCCACTCCCAAAATCTGTTGTCTGACCTCCACACATGTCTGCACACAAATACACATTCACAGACACAATAAATAAATAAATAAAATAACATTTTAAAAGGAAAAGTCATGCTATTTGATGAGTTAGTATCTTCATGCATCCAGATCTTTCTGGTTCTTTTTGCATCCTGGTTCTTCCCCATTTCTTTCCCTGAGGCCTCTACCTATTTTGGGCTTACGACTTTATCTTCTTACATGACTGAGGAAGAGATGTCTGAGAATTGCTGTGTTCTGGCTTAGGATAATGTAGGTAAGTGTAAGTGCTAGAACTGGCCCTCCTCCACCTGGGAAACGTAATGATGCTAGCTAGCAATGGGGTAGCAGATGCAAGATGATCACAAGCCAGAGGCCAGCCTGGACCCTAAAAAGAAGGAAACACATAATAGATGGCAGCATTCTCTTGCTTTTAAAGGACATATCTAGGAAATGCTGGTGTAGGCCTGGCCTCAGTGCTGAGGCATTCCTTGTTAGTGAGATTCTTCTCTCACTCCCACCCTAGAGTTGAATGTGTCTGCTCCTGTTCACAGCTTCCTTGGGACTAAATGAAGAACAGAAGGAGTTTCAGAAAGTGGCCTTTGACTTTGCTGCTCGGGAAATGGCTCCCAATATGGCGGAGTGGGATCAGAAGGTAGGAGTCTTCTTGTGTCTAGATGTGCCAAAAAAAAAAAAAAAAAAAAAAATGCCTGGTGAAATGACTTCCCTCTCCCTTTTAAAGTCCTAACTTCTCAGTGTCTGTTCTCCACTCACTAACTCTTACTGCAAATGTGAAGACTGATGGTAGAGGTGCGGGATAGTTTGATGTCAGCTTGACACGAGCTAGAGTCATCAAAGAGGAGAGAACCTCCAAAACACAGAGCTGCAGCCAATCCTGTAGGGCATTTTCTTAACTAGTGATCGCTGTGGGAGGGCCCAGCCCATTGTGGTGGAACCACCTCTAGACTCGTAGTCCTGGGTTCTATCAGAAAGCAAGTTTAGTAAGCTCTGGGAAGCAAGCCAGTAAGTAGCACTCCTCCATGGCTTCTGCATCAGCTCCTGCCATGTGCCTTGCTTGAGTTCCTGCCCTCCTGCCTGACGATTAACTGTTGTATGGAACTGTGAGTGAAATAAACCCCTTCCTCCCCAAGTTGCCTTTGATGATTGTGTTTCATTACAACAATAGCAACTCTGACTAGAACAGTAGATGACTTTTCATAGGAGTCATCCCAGATATCATGTAGCCATCCCCTTGTCTTTCTTAATTGAATAAATATTTAGACACACATAAAATCAAAGCAATTGTATAGGAAAAATTTTGGAGAACATATGTTAACTGATGCTACCATAAAATAGCAAGGGCATTTGAAATTAAGAGAATTCCTATAATCTCCCAGATGCAAGCATCCTAATCCTTTCATTGTCCCCTCTAAAAGAAAGCCTTTCTCAGAGCCAGTCCCTGACTGCCTTGCTCTCCTCTTTATAGGAGCTGTTCCCTGTGGATATGATGCGGAAGGCAGCACAGCTGGGCTTTGGGGGGATCTACGTAAGAACAGATGTGGGTGGGTCTGGACTGTCTCGCCTCGATACTTCTGTCATCTTTGAAGCCTTGGCCACAGGCTGCACCAGCACCACTGCCTATATAAGCATCCACAAGTGAGCATCCACACACCTAACAGCATGGTAGAGGGCTGTGCTCACATGGGCTGGTAGGGAAACTTCAGACTCACGAGAAGAAGATGAATTGTGTTGGGTTGACAGTACTCGAGAAACTAGACTGTTACTGGTACACAGTAGGTCTGCAGCTGGCTGCTGGATTTGATTCTGTTGTCTTCTATATTAGTGCTTAGGGAATCGTTTCTGCTGAGCTTCTCTTAAGTCCTAGTTTTGGCGCCTGCAGACTACTCCGGTTTTCCTCAGTAATTTGATAAAGTAATAGGAAAAGCACTTATCTCTGATTTTTAGGACTCATTACTCTGAGAAACAGCTGGGTGTCAGGTATAAATATTCTGGGAGTGTTTTTAAACCAGTCCCTCCCTTTCAAGTTGAACCTTTTCATTTGTCTCTTTTCCTTCCCCTCTCCCCTCCTGCTTTCATCCCTGCTCTGTTGCTCTTTGTTTCTTTTCCCACCTCCACCCCACTCCCCTGATTCTCTCTTCTGTCTTTATTTCTGTCCATGCCTTTTCTTCTTGTCAGCATGTGTGCCTGGATTATTGATAGCTTTGGCAATGAGGAACAGAGGCACAAATTTTGCCCACCGCTCTGTACCATGGAGAAGTTTGCTTCCTACTGCCTCACTGAACCAGGTGCGTTCGTCCTCCCTGCAAGTGACACCTAGCACGGAGAGAAGTGGAACCTGTGTGGTCACCGAGCAAGCTCAACCACCGGCATATAATCTGGCTTACCAAACATTTGGATGTAGAGTATAGGTCCCAGAGGCCTTCAGGTCAGAGTTCCTCTGGCTGCATGCCACTGTTAGCTGGTTTGTTAGAGAAAATGGGCTGCTTGGTGCAAGTGGTTTTTTCCTAGTAGGAAGAATTCCTTGGCCATATGGATTTTAAAGTAGTACACGAAGAACTCTCCGAGGAAGATTTCCAGGATGTGGAACTGTGTTGAGCTGCTGTGGCTTCGCTGACTCTCTTCTTCGTTTGTTCTCATTTGGTCCCTACTTCAGGAAGCGGGAGTGATGCTGCGTCTCTTCTGACGTCAGCCAAACGACAGGGAGATCATTACATCCTCAATGGTTCCAAGGTAAGAGCATGCATTCCCAGGGCAACTGGGGGTCGTTCCCTCATGCCCTTGCTAGCCCTCAGTTCCTTTGAGTCTGTGAATTAACATTCCCATGTAGGAGTTTACATGTTGGGAAGAGAATCTTTCATGAACTAATTCACAAATTGCATGAATTTTTGTTTCCTTTCTATTTTTACAAACTAAATCCCTATACTGGAGGCACTGCCATAATCCTTTACCCTTTACCCCATTCTCTGCATTATGCCTTTGTTCTGTCATCAGGAGTGTTCCAGTGGTTTTCCCAGATGTCAGGCTCAGAACTCATGTGTTCGCTGATCCTCACACACCCCCTCTCCACCCACAGGCCTTTATCAGTGGGGGTGGTGAGTCAGACATCTATGTGGTCATGTGCCGGACTGGAGGATCGGGCCCCAAAGGCATCTCCTGTGTAGTTGTTGAGAAGGGAACCCCTGGCCTTAGCTTTGGCAAGAAGGAGAAGAAGGTGAGTGGCTACTCAAGTGTAAGCAACTCAGGTTATACGTCTCTGCTCTCTGTTAGATCAACTCTTACCCTGTTTCACGTGATAGGTTCAAGACTGGGTATGTAGCAGAGAAGTCATTTCTGAAGGAAAGACTCCTGGGGAAAGACACACTTTGCCAGCTGGTCTCATAAACTGCGATTGTTTAAGTTCTTGTGTTTTTTCTGTGGGCACTTTTGTTTGCGTTTTGTTTTTCTCTGTGCTATTTGTTTATGTGCATGTCTTGGAGGGGAGTTGATATTGGATGTTTTCCACCTTATTTTTCTGTCAGAGTCTCCTTTAATTTAGTTACTGTACTTTTATTGTTATTGTTTTTTGAGGCAGGGTCTTACTATGTAGCCCAGGCTGTTCTTGCTTGGTACATAAGGCTGGTCTCAGACTCACAGAGATCTACCTCCCTTTGCCATCATGCCTGAGCAGACAGCATCTCCCAGTGAATCTGGAGCTTGCCTCTTTGGTGAGACTGCCTGGCCAGTAAGTTCCTGGGACCCTCCTGTCACCATCTCCCAGCTGCACCTGGCTTTCCATGTGGGTACTGAGGATTGAATTCAGGTCCTTGTACATGCGCAGCAAGCACATTACCAGTTGAGCCATCTCCCCAGTCCGTGTCCTCTATTTCTTACCCAGCTTTCACCCACACTTTGTTATCCCAGAAAGTGACACTTACAAATAAAACTAAAAGGGGCTGGAGAGATGGCTCAGAGGTTAAGAGCACTGGCTGCCCTTCCAGAGGTCCTGAGTTCAATTCCAAGCACCCACATGGTGGCTCACAACCATCCATAATGAGATCTGCTGCCCTCTTCTGGCTTGCAGGGATACATGCAAGAGGAATGATGTATACATAATAAATAAATCTTTAAAAAAACAAACAAACAAAACTAAAATATTCATCAACAGGGAGAGGCTGTAGGGGTTTCAGCCATCTGAAGACTTGTTTCCACAAGTGCTTTGACAAAGAAGATGCTCTTGGGATTAAGAAACCCCACATCACAGGCCCTGAGCAGGAAACTTTTCGGACAGGTGATGAAAACAGGAGTGCCATTGTTGCCCTTAGAATAGGCTTTTGGAGAAGTCAGGTGTGAAATGACCCCTAAATACTTCCTCCATCTACACACAGGGGTTCCACATATTTCTTCAGGATGCTTAGGTTCTACTGCCCCTTCTCTTTTGTAGCATAACAGGATATTTGATGCCTACAGTGTTTAAAGCTATGTGCTGTTGTCTCCTACAGTGATACAGAATCCTTTGTAAGGAGTCTTTTTCTGTCCTGCCAGCCAGCTCCCAAATAATGACACAGAGACTTCTTATTATGTAAAAAGCCATGTTTTATAGGTAGGAGGAGGGAGCTCAGGCATTGCATACAACTCATGGTTTTCCTGAGCTGCCTTGCTGAGCCTGACATTTCTTTTGAGTTTCTGAGTACCTTGAGGAGGGATGAAGTAGTGAGACCATGAAACATCAGAATGAGCCTTGCTAAGAGGATCTGTGAACTTTGTAGTTGAACTTTTGTACTTTTATGTAAGGAGACAAAGGTCATGAAGAAATAAGTGATTTATCCAAAGATGGAAATAATAAGCAGGTAGATTTGTGACAGATCTTCAAGTGTTCTCAAATTTTTCTGGGTTTAAAGCTGACATATCCAGTTATATTCTAGTAAGACATTTTTCTTGGAGAAACAAAACAAAACTCATATTTGTGGCACTTACCACAATGGCTGATTTCAAACCACCATTGCAAGATCATAGGAGGCCAAGTTAGTAAAAACAGTGTAATTGGCTCTAGTGAGTTGACATCACATTACTGAATCTCACTGAAACTAAATGTTAGATCAGGGCTCTCCAGCACAGTGCATGCCATGTATCTTGTCCAATTATAGCACCTTCTAAGGATACTAGACCTTTGAAAGGAGAAGTGTGCTTATTGTTCACAAGGCCTCTGAAAGTTAACTTTTCATGCTTGCTTTGTCAGCACATATCCTAAAAGTAAGCTCCCCCAATTAATCTCTCATAGAAGTACTCGCAGAGGCACTGAAGATGAGGATGTGAAAAGTATTTGTAGATAGAGTAGACAAAGTAGATTTGTGTAATACGTTACACTGTGTTACCCAGGCATGGAGACTCAGACCTATGATCCTGGCACTGGGAGCCTGAGGCAGGAAGAGCACACTACAGGGCAGTCTGGACTACAGAGTAAGAAAGACCATGTTAAAAGATAAACCAAGCACTGCTTACCTGAAAGAAGTGTCTTTCTAAGTAACAATAAACCTTTCCATCTGAACTTTTTTCTTCTGCTGCTTTGTGTTCTTATGGGTTTAAGTGCCAGGGCGCTGGAACCCATACTTTACAAGCTTCTGTCCACAGGGAAGGCCACCCTGCTTGGGGAACCCTTGGGCAGCCACCCAGACCCTGATTTTTGCCAGGTGGGGTGGAACACTCAGCCAACCCGAGCAGTGATCTTTGAAGACTGTGCTGTCCCTGTGGCCAACAGGATTGGGATCGAGGGTCAGGGCTTTGTCATCGCCATGAAAGGACTGAACGGTGGCAGGATCAATGTTGGTGAGGCCAGAAAGGAATTGGGGAAGGAAGGCAAAGGCTGAGGCTAGCAACTGTCATTCAGGCTCAGCTGAAGTCCTGACTCCTCCTCTCTAGCATCCTGCTCTCTTGGGGCTGCTCATGCTTCAGTTGTCCTTACCCAAGAGCACCTCAAGGTCCGGAAGCAGTTTGGAGCACCTCTAGCCAGAAACCAGGTAAGAGAACTGGGGTCTGCATTTGTGTTTTGTTGAGATCTTCCTTAGGGTCCACATTCTTGGTGGAATTGGATGGGGCTTATACCCATTTAGAATTTCCCACCATCTTAATCAGAATGTATGTTTTGCATGTACCTGTGCCTTTTTTCTGGAGGCAATAATACCAAGGCAAGCAAAGAAGGCTTTAGAAATGGCAAGAGACTTTGACGTACTTAGGAAGGGCATATAATTTGAGATATCTTTGCACATGCACGTGGCATGCATACATGCCTTCGTGTATGTGCAAATGCAGACACAACTACATGCGTGTCATAGTGCGTACGTGGAGGTCAGGAGATAGGTTTCAGGTGTTGGTCCTCTTCTGCCATTGGATCATCAGGGGGTAGAACTCAGATTGTCAATTCTGTGTATGTATAAGTACCTCTATTTGCTGAGCCAGCTTAAGATGTCTTATCAGTGGTTCCAGATCAGATAGATCCCAGTTGTCCTGCCTAAACCCATATGTCCTTTTTGGTTCCATTCTCTTCTGTGGCTGCAGTACCTGCAATTCCAGTTAGCAGACATGGCCACCAAGCTGGTTGCCTCCCGGCTGATGATCCGTACCGCGGCGGTAGCTTTGCAGGAGGAGCGGGAAGATGCGGTGGCCCTGTGCTCCATGGCCAAGCTCTTTGCTACAGATGAATGCTTTACTGTAAGTGACAAGTCTTCTGGCCTTCCTGACATAGACAGGAGGGGCTGCTCTTCCTGGGGATTTTGAGAGAGATGAGCCATCTATAAAAACCTAGCCTCCTATGAATCACTTTGGGGCTTAAGAGTTCAAATGTGAAAGGCCTGCAAGGGAGCTAGCTCTCCCTGTTGCCTTTATAGCCTTCTCTGTGATACTAAATGCATCAGTAATACTGTCTTTCGGATGTGTTCTAGATGAAGCACATCTCTGCGAGGTAATGATGCTAGCCCACATTTAGCACTAATGGCTCTGTTTACTTAAGCATGGAGCTGTTTCCATGCTGAGACCCCCCCATACCTCCCATGGCCACTAGGTGGCACCTGAACTTCCTGTAATCAGTCAAGGTGGTGGTAGGCTGCTTTGCTCTGGAACAGCATAACAAAGAAATGCAGATGTTTGTGCATTGTTTGACAGGTTTGGTAGGAGGACTGCCTTTGTGTCTGAACATTTAGAATCTGGAGCTCCTCTTGGGCTCTGTTCATTCTCTTGTCTGTTTATAGCAGACTGCCAGACTGAGGTTTGGAGTGGGGAGGGAAGCTAAGTACTCCACAGGCTTCCTGGGACCAAAGACATCTATCTGGCTCTGTCTCTCAGCAGATCTGCAACAAGGCTTTGCAGATGCATGGGGGCTATGGCTACCTGAAGGATTATGCTGTTCAGCAGTATATGCGGGACTCCAGGGTCCACCAAATCCTAGAAGGTAAAATTTTGCAGAGGTTATTCTCTTGCTGTGCTTTTCCCAACCTATCTCAGTACTTCTGAGCTGGGATCCTGCCAGGCCCTGTGTCTTTTTCTCCATTCTTCCTTTCCTCAGTCCTTCTCTGAGACTGGTCTCCTGCTACATTAGAAAGCTCTCTAAGCTGGAAGCCAGGAGACTCCGCTTTACCCTTACGAGTGAGGCATCACTCCACTTCTTTTTGTAGATTTCAGAGAAGGCTCAAACCAAGCTAATATATGAGCAGCCTTGTTGAAATGCACGATGACATTTTGTACTGTTGTAAAGGACTTGGACCTCAGGGATCCTAAACTCCTAAGTGTGTGTGCCACAGTGGTGTGGCAGATGTGCTGTCTAAATGTTATGCTTATCAGCATTGCTAGTATAGTGTTTAGTAAAATGTCAGCATGTGGCTTTCTCCTTTAACTACAGACATCTGTCGGGCAGCTGTGTGAGCTATTAGTCAGGTGCAGAGTGTGCTTTCCACTCAGCAGTTGGTACATTAGTCTAGTGTACATTAGGCTAGTGTAGGCAGCCAGGGCTGTCACAGGACTGGGAAGCGTGGGATGGAAGCTTCTCTTGTGCTTCTTGGTGAAACAGTGTAGGGGTGTTTAGTGGGGTCACAGACGACTCTGAGGATTTGCTTCTCTACCTTCAAAGGTCCATGTCATACTTGAGTGGGCACCATAATCTCTTCCTGGGGGACTAGCTGCTGCGTCCACCCTCAGACTTTCTGCTCCACTGGGCCAAGCGAAGGCTATGGTCATTGATGTGGAGACAGTTTGGGTCCCACTGTCCCTATGCCTGAAGATGACTGCTTTCTGTCCAAACTTGAGCTCTAACCTTTAAGTGGCTCAGGCCCTTATACTGAAATGAAACTTGCAGAAGTTTTTTTAGTGGGAAAAGTCAGCCCTTTTCAAGGAAGTTTGGATTTGGCTTTCTTGGCGCTGGTGTGATTATTGGTTCCACAGCGGCTTCACTTTGTATTTTGTTTGTACTGACGGCCATTATTAAAAATAAAATGAGCTTTTAATTCTCTACTTCAAGGTAAATGTTTTATGCTTCAGTTTTTTGATTACAAAAGAAATATGTATTATTGAAAATCTAAAAGTAAAAGAAAAAAATCACTCATGTTTCTACATTTTAGGAGGTGTTTATTTATACATACATACATACATATATAATTAAATTCTTTGGATTTTTTTCTATCCTTTTACAAGTAGGATGAAATTTAAAAAATTAGAATTTTACTATTTTTATTTTACTTGTTTAATACAATTGTTTTTGTCATCAGGAGAGGTGTTTTAAAAATGTAAATATTATCCCACTGAGCCAGCAAGGGACCTACTGCCGAGCCTGAAGGCCTGAATTTCATCCAGGACCCATATGGTAGAAGGAGCAAAGCAGTCATACTAGTTGTCCTCTGATCCTCACATGCATACCATGTTATGGGTTTACCCACACACATATACACAGTAAATACATGTAATTTTTTTAAAAAAAAAATTAAGGCATAAATATTGGGTGTGATCTTAGCACTTGTAGGGCAGGAAGGTCAGGAGTTCAAGGTCATCCTCAACTATATATATATAGTTCAAGGAAAGCCTGGGCTACATTAGACCCAGTCTCAAACCAAACAACAGCAAATGTAAATACTATTCCTTACACTGTCATTTTTCAGTAATTACAAAAGAAGCAACAGAGTTTAAATCCACGACTGCCCTTTTCCTACTGAATCCTTCATTGTTCCTCTTGCAGGTAGCAACGAAGTAATGAGGATGCTGATCTCTCGAAGCCTGCTTCAGGACTAGCTCCCAAACTGGAGAGTCTAACCTGGGATTCATGTGCAGCTGCAATCAGTGTTGTCCTGTTGCAAATGGACCTTGGAGTAGGTTGAAGAGCTTTGCTCTTCTGATAGAGAACCTGAGGTCAGCAGCAATGCTGGCTCTAAGACAGGAACAGGATTCTCAGCTGGATGGGCCCTGAGGAGCCGTACCAGGAGTCCTGCTTTCCTCATTCTGGAAGGACAAGCAGTCAACACTGTGGCTCAGATCCACACTATGCAGTTTGCTGATTCTTGTCCCAGAGTCTGGGCACTTCAATGAAGCTTTTCCTGATTGTGGAAGCAAAGTGTGGGGAAGCAAGGGCAATGCACAGCCTGTGTCTTTCTGTTCTCTGTTCTGCACTGGCAGTGTCTCAGGACAGTACTCCTGAACTCAGATCATGATGAAGTGATTATTTGGGAACCTACTGCTAAGCTATGAATTAGGGTACACCTTTACTCCTGCCATGTAATAAATGTCAAGGGCTGAGGTTATTTGGAACACTTGGATTTTTTATATGGGCTTTTATTTCCTTTTTTGGGTCTACTTCTCTTTTTAAATACTTTTATTAGTACCATGGTAAATAAAATATACATCTTTACTGTATCCTTCAACTATAAGCCTTGCAACTGTAGGTGATTTGATTCAATATTTCCTTGGATTTTGGAATAATTAAGTGTATATTTGGTTTAATATTTAATTGGATTTTAGAAAAATTAGGAATCCTAAGGCAGTTTTGTCTTTTAAAAAGTACAGCCTTTAATTTATAATTCTGCAAACAAATCATTATTTGTCATGTATGGAAGTCTAAATATTACTCAATGATTAGGAGTTAGGGGAAAGCCCTATCACAGATGATTATTTAATCCATCTTTTGATGTTTAGGAAAGAAAAGTGTACAAGATATTTATTTCGTTAACCATAAGTCACTGATTATAGGAAAGGGTATATGCCTGTAGCTATAATAGACATTTTCTTTTCTGAATGCTTACTGTGAAATTGCCTTGTGCATGGGAAGCAAGGTGTGATTCAAAGTTGAAAATGGGATTCTGCTGTCCACAGCTGTGTTTAAGAGGAGCTGATGTAGTGCCTGGTCACAGTGTCTATACAAGACAGAATAGCCTGGAGAAATGAAAGGTAGGAAGGTTCACAGAGAGGTAAAAATTCAGATTAAGCTTTTATGAAATGTTTAATATTTAAAGGGAAACTGTTTTGCAGAAGAAATTGGGAGGGAGTACAAGGTTTGTGTGGGCAGTATTGACATTTGTGTTCATGTGGTTTGGGATTGCATGAAACAGAAAATATAAGTTAAGTGTGCATAGAAAACTGGGTGTGTGGGGGTATGTATATGTATGGTGTTCATGTGAGAGTACCACTTTGTGTGTGTGAAACAATTTTGGGAGTCAGTTCTTTCCTTTCACCATGAGGGGCTCCAAGAACCAAACAGGTCATCAAGTTTGTACAGCAAACAATCTTACCCACAGAGCAATCTCACTGGTTCCAAATCAATCCATTCTTCAGAATATTCAAAATTGTCAAAGTGTGAGAGTCTCTTCACTGTATCCTTGCAAATAGAGGGAAGAGCAGGCGAACGTCATTGTAGAACAGTGCTTGGGAGGTTCCCTGTGGAACCTGTGGAATCTAGAGATCTTGTTATTAACCAGTCTGTTTGCTGGCATTGCTGGGGTTCCTGTTCCTCCTCAGAGCAGTGACAATTATGTCTATGATGGCTTTGAAATTATGGTTGTTGAAAAGTACATGCTGAGGGACAGAAATGATAGCACGGCCAGTAAGAGCATTTGCTCTTCCAGAAGACCCAAGTTTGATTCCCAGTACCCACATCAGGCATCAAACAACTACCTGTAACTACAGCTTCTGTAACTCTGGTCCTCTAGGTACCTTTACTCATGTGCACTTTCCTTTACACAAACACACGTGAAATACACATAATTAGAAGTAAAAATAAATACAAACTTAATGTGGTGGTTCTGTCCTGTAATCCCAGCACTCAGAAGGCTAAAGCAGAATGATTGCTGTGAATTCAAGTGTAGCCTGGACTACATACAGAATGAGTGACTATTTTGAGCTGGCAATGTAGCTCACTTAACTAGTGTGCAGAGATGCTTAGGATTCCACCTCTAGCACTGAAATAAAGTTCTTAACTGTCATCTTCAGCTATTACTAAGATATTTCATATTCCCAATCACCTACCAAGCAAGTGGTTGAACTTTAGCCAATTCCCATCGTTGTTCTAGATCATAAGTAAAAACAAAAATACCAGAGCAGTATTCACTATCTTTGAGAGACACCTATGGTAAGGCCAGGTAAGGTGTTCATGTTTTAGGTGTAGGAAAATACACCACTGAAGGAATTGAGGTGATGCTGTGGGTTGAATTGTATCCTCCCTCAAATAGTTCTGAATATCTTGGCATGTAATCTAATTTGACAGCTATAACTAGTTAAAATGAGATGATGAGATCTACTGTAAGGTAGATCTATAAAACAGTCTAACTATGAATTATGTAAAGACTCAGGTCCAAGGATGCCACTGAAGCTGTCACAGGAAGCCAGAATAGGTACATGGAACAGATGGCCTCTTACAGCCTTCAAGACAAAACAAAACAAACAAACAACAAAAAAACAAACTTGTGACATTCTGGTCTAGAACTCTTAAGAAAAATATTTGCTGGCTAAGCCTCCCGACCTGTGGTAATTTGTTGTGGCTCCTCAGCTGAGTCATATGATTGCCATCATTGAAATCTTGTGTAGCAGTGTGCTGGAGTGCTTTCTCAAACAGCAGAGTAGGGCTGAGGAATATGATATAGAAATGAATACTCTATATTGATATGGATTTTGATTTATTGATACAAATTTAAGGTATATTTTTCTTGTTTAAGTATTGTATTTATGCAGTTTTTAAAAAATGTAATATAATTAAATACCAATTACAGTCACCTGTAATAGTCAAAACTTAGATTTTGTAGATATACAGAGATAAATTTCAAGTGGATAGGTATTCTTCAACTCCATCCAAGGCCTCAGAAGCATTTTATATATAAACTCTAGTATTGACAGAGACATCTCACTGCCTGCACAGTCACCCAAAGTTCTTCTGTAATGTTGGGGCGTCTCTGTCTCTCTTTAGCCTATAGGCTTAGCATGTCTGGCAGACTTCTCATAATCAACCAATAAGAGAAACATATATACAAAAGGACATCCCCATGACCATAGCTCAGTGTACAGTGTTTGCCTAGTATGCCATTGGTTCTGCAGTATCAAAAAAATAAATCATAGTATATTTCCCCATACTAACAATAAAAAACTGGGAAGAAAAGATTTAAAATGTTCCTAAACATTTAAGTACAAATATAAAGATATACAGGGCCTCTCTACTGAATATTTTTAATATTGCTATGAAAAAATTAAAACTTGTAGACAAAATCTCATTGTTAACATTAAGGTTTGCCTTTTAGTTCATCTGCATAAGCAGTTGAAGTCAGTGCAGTTCAAAATCACAGATTGTATGTGTGTGGGGGGTGGTTGAAAATAGATAAGACAAACTTATTCTAAAAGTATAGAAATATAGGACTTAGATATGACCACTGTTGAACATGTAATACTAAGTATCCAATTTGCTTTTGAATACATAAGTAAAAGAGTTAAGTTGAAGATCTGTCTTAAAAAGATTTATTTCCATCTTATGTGTATCGGTGTTTTGCCTACATGTATGTATGTGTACCACATGACTGCTTAGTGCCTGTGGAAGCCATCAGAGGGTATTATTGGTTTCCCTGCAACTGAAGCTACCATGAGAGTGCAGGAAACTGGACCTGAGCAGCAGATACTCCTAACCACTGAGCCATCTCAGAGCTCTCTGAGAATTCCTAAAGTTGAAGATCTTAATTTTTATGACTTCCTTTAAAATTATAGTAATCAGCCAGGCAGGGGTAGGGGGTTGGGGGCGCATGCCTTTAATCTCAGCACTTTGGGAGCCAGAAGCAGGTGGATCTTTGAGTTTGAGACTAGCCTGGTCTACAGAGCAAGTTCTAGGACAGCCAGGACTACACAAAAGAAGCCTATCTCGGAAAAAAGTTACACCAATCAAGATATTCTCGGTATGTAAAGGTGTCTACCACCAAGCCTGATAACTTGAGTTTGTTCCCCGGGACCCATGTGGTAGATAAAGAGAACTAATTCCCATAAATTGTCCTCTGACCTCTGTGTTTTCACACACACACACACACACACACACACACACACACACACACACTTATGATGAGAGGTAAAAACAATTCAATAGATAGATGGTTGGTTTTTTACAAATGGTGTTAGAAGGACTTCACCTCCATTAAGGTGGGAAGGGGCTCTTTTGCCACTACCTCACACCATACACAAAATGATGTTTCAAGGAGGCTCTGTATTAAAAGTTACCACCTTTCCAACCCATGCAAATTCCATGCTGTCCCTCCCATCCACATGTGAAGTCAGAGACCCTTGTGCTCAGCCTCGGTACAACCCACTTGGACTGAGCAGTCCTGTGTGAGGTCAGAGACCCACAACTCCTCCTTTAGCATATCACCAGCCACTGTGAGTTAATTAGCCAAGCCAGGATCACACCACTCAAAATTTTCTTCAGGACTGAACTTCACCCAGCTAAAACAAGCTAAGCTGGGGTAACAGTGAACACCACATCAAGCATTCCACACAGATCTGTCAAAAAGTGTAAGATAGGAACCCACTTACATAGCCACTTCCAGACCTCAAAGCCAGTGTATGAGCCAGTAACCATCAAAGACACAGTTCCTCAAAATGAGAGAAGACAGTGAACGTCTACCTCATCACAGGAGCTCTCAGCTGTAAGACATCCTAGGAGCCAAAATAGATAGGAATGTAAGACACCACAGAAGGAACACAACGGTGAGGAGTTGGACTCTGGAGTACTGTCTAGTTTTGCAATTAGAAGTTTACTTTAGAGAAGCTTATTAATTGTCGATCTCAGTGTCTGCTACTGGGGTTTTGTTGAGGAAGCAGTCTCCAGTACCAAGTTTTTCAAGGGTACTTCCCACTTTCTCTTCCATGTGGTTGGATTTATGTTGAGGTCTTTGATCCATTTGGACTTGAGTTTTGTGCATGGGAATAGACTTGGGTCTATCTGCAGTCTTCTGCACACCATCATCCAGTTGTGCCAGCACCATTTGTTGAAAATGCTTTCCTCCTTCCATTGTATGATTCTGGCTGTTTTGTCAAAAATCAGGTGTTCGTAGGTGTCTGGGTTAATATCAGGATTTTCAATTCGTTTACATTGGTCTACCTGTCTATGTGGCAGTACCAACCTGTTTTCAGGACTATAGCTCTATAGTAGAGCTCAAAGTCAGGGATTGGTCATGCCTCCTGAAGTGCCTTTATTGTACAGGGTTGTTTTGGCTATCCTGGGTCTTTTATTTTTCCATATAAAGTTGATTATTATCCTTTCAAGGTCAGTGAAGAATTGTGCTGGGATTTTGATGGGGATTGCATTGAATCTGTGGATTGCTTTTGGCAAGATTGCCATTTTTACTATGTTTATCCTACCTATCCAAGAGCATGGGAGATCTTTCCATTTTCTG